GTGGCCATGGCCACTCGTGTCCGTGACCCGTCAAAACTGCGCTCGACTAAGCCGCGCCCGATTAAACCGCGTCGCTGACGTCATCAACAGGGCGACAACAGCCAGCGCGGAGAAAGAAGGGTGCTTTAAATAGTGCTTTGAAAGCAAGCCAATTCAACTTAAGGTAAGGGTTAGGTTTAGGGTTAGGTTAAGGGTTGGGTTAGATTAAGGGTTAGGTTAAGGGTTAGGTTTAGGGTTAGGGCTTAATTTTAGGTTTAGGGTTTACAGCGTGCTTCTGTCTCCGCGCTGTTGTCGCCCTGTTGATGACGTCAGGGGCGTGGTTTAGTCGAGCACGGTTTAGTCGAGCGTGGTTTTGTGGGTGAACCGGTTTTAAGTGGAGGACGAAATGCCATAATCTGCCATCCATATGCTTGTTCTCAAGGAAAATTCACAACCAAGACAAATGGTTATCCTGAATCTGTCCGTTTGGCAATATTTACTGTTTACTGTATCACCTTTCCCAAGATACAAAAAAAAATTGATCTGAAGAGTGAATTTTCCTTCTACAACAAATTGTGGAATAGGATCTTCATGACCAAAGAGAGATACTGAAAAGTCTGTGCATGAGGGGGACAATAACATTTTGCACATGCTCCTCACAAGGCAAAATAGAAATGGGAATACTAAATGGAAACAGAAAAGTATTTGGGGGTTCAGTGAAAAATCTGGGAGAGAAGCTAATTACTGTGGTTACAAAAATGTAATGAGGGGAGTTAGTGTGGATCTAGTCATGTGCGATGCTGCAGAAAAAAAACGGGATTCCTTTCTGAAATTTTATATCTCTTGGCTATTTGGACAGGGTCTGCACGGATGCCTAACCCATAATATAAATCACAGAGAGAATGCAATAAAACATCCCATATGGTGGAAAGCTTTCTGTGCCTTAATAGGAATCAACGGGACGAGGAAGCAGAATGCAATCCCGATATTTATATCTCACTGTTAGTTGACTGTGAAGTAGATGATAGTTGTTCTCTGAATTTCTCTTCAGATAATTGAGCTGGCACAAGTCCTGGGCCTTGGCATATTATTTTGTTTTTTCAAGGCCTTTGGTAAAACAGAGAAACAAGAATAATAATACAAAATTTAGCAAGGGGATATCTTTTCTATCAGCCTTTTTGCTTTCCTACCATGGAACCTGATTCTTTGAGTATATAATAAAGCATTCCGACAAACTTTGTAGCTCTCTCTACTGGAAATTCCTCAAGCAAAACTTTCCTACATAATGCCTTCCCATTAATTCTGCTTACTACAGATTTTAAAAATTTAAGAGTTCCTCAAGGTAAAAGGAGCTGCATTTCCTATTCAACTGTACTACTGTAGAATTCTTTCTTACATATAAGGAAGTGATGCTGGTGATAAATGTGGTGGCCTTTGTGAATTGCAAATGAGGCCTTTGACAAGATGTTATTAAGTTATGGGTTCCTATAGGTCAGCTAGCTATGCCCAATTATTAGATCAATAGTTTTGTTTTATCTGTCCCACCTAACAGCATTATCTATACCAGAGTATTTCTTTATCTTCCTCTTTCCTTTCTTGAAATTGGATCACACTGCTTTGGCAAGTTAAGAATCAACAACCAGAATCAACAATATATTCACTATTAAGAGAAATGATTGAGAATAATGTATTACCACTATTTTCAAGATGAATGGAATTCTGAGATTGAGGTTTCTTTAAAATCAGTATTTTGGTTTTAAGGAAAAACAGCACTTTCAATTACTGATGCTTTGCAGAAACTGGTTTAACTCACTGAACAGAAGGGAGGCAGGACCAGACTTATAGATGTATTAGATTACTTCAGCTAAGAATCATTTATGCAAACAATCATCCATATCATCACAAAACTGTAATCTAGTTTGGCAAAGTGGGTAAAACAAAAGAATAAGCATCATTTTGTGGCTAAGTCCACAGTAATACTATTGAACATAGCCTTCATCTGCATTATCCTTATCCAATTTTACCCAAATAATTTTAAAATAGAAGATATTATATATTTCAAATTCTAAATAGATTTCAGCTTTGAAAATCTCTGAGGAGGACTTGGTTTTTTAAAAACCTCCTTCTCTATATGCTCTTCAAAAAAAGCATTATTAGCAAAATAAAAGCAACTTGATAGCAAGAGATCCATTCCTGCTACTATATGTAAAAACCTTTTATGTTTTGAAACATTATGAAAACAAGCCACCCCTACATTAACATAGAAATGATAGCAGGAAATATAAAAATGTTGTGGCAATTACAGTAGGACTCTATATTAATATAGTCATTATCCCACAGTCAGTCTAAAAATCTATCAAAAGCTGCTCCCACTAAAAGTAGAAAGCCTGAAGTGATCACAGCAGCTCTATCAACCTAAAAGGAAAAAAAAATTCTTTGGTCCCAAACTTGAAATATACTAACCTACTAATTTCAAAAAAGCTTTTTGCACAGATATTCAGATTTAAAAGAGGCAGTACTATCTTTATGCCAATAGACTATTATGACTAAACAGAACAGGCATATAAATAAATCAGCAACCTTATTTCTTTAGAATATTTATTTAGTTTACTTGGAAAGAAATAGCTGCTTTTGAATTCTGAAAAAATTACATCTTCAAATGTTCCTCAAACCATACTGCCAGAAGAGCTGTAATAAAACATGTCTCAAAACAGAATTAGTTTTTTTAAAAAATATTTTTTTTAATTCTCCTTTATCTATGTGTGAGATATACTGTATATTGATGGGTTTTTTTTTAACTTCAATTAGATGTTTATTGGCATTTATAGGCCGCCCTTTTCCCTGAGGGGACTCAGGGCGGCTTACACTTAATAGGGAGGGAGTGCAAGACAGAACACAGAATTAGTCTATGATTATATTAAAATCTAAATTTAGTTATTGCACCAAATTAAATGCTTGCATTAAAATGTTTTTGTGGATGTACATGTATAGAATAATCATTTATAATGGAAGCATCCAGAGTAGAAGCAAAGTATTTTGTGGTTTAGAGATTAGAGAATTGCCTTGGTAAATGATTGTGATCGAATTCCTGGGAAATAAATAGAATTAGTGGGAAGAATAAATAGTGATAAATGTATCCCATAGACTAGATTAAGAGGGAAGGAAAATATGTTTTTTAGGACTAGATGAAAGCAATGTATATGTATTTTCTAGGATTTCGTAAACATATGAGCACATTTTAAAAAAATTATGTAATCTAAAAAGTTATTCAAAATCATATGATCCTATTGGTTATGGAACGAAGGAGATTCATAATTAAAATGTAATAAGCCAGTAAACCAGCCTTTATGTAAAGTTGTAGTAAACAGTATTAACATTAGTGTCTTGAGAGAACCAGGTTACTAGGTTTTCACCATACGTAACTAGTGCAAAGTAATTTGAATTCGAGATCTTTTTAGCGTAAAATGCTTCATTTTGAGTTTGAAACAGTTGTTCTGACTCTGAAACAGGCCATCCTGACCTTATCACACTTCCGTTTTGAGACTGAAATTCATTTCTAGAATAGCTGAACAGCCCACTTCGAAGCTGAAACAACTGTTTCATATTAAAACATTTTGCAAACCTGTAATTTCTCAGTGAAAAGTAGTTACCAAGTCAGGAATTATATTTAAGAAATTCAGATTTAGTACCAAAAAAAAATCTTTTCAGTCAAAATCATATAGCTAAAACTGGTAACCTGTAATAAACTATATGGTAATTATTAGCAATTTATAATGCAGCAGGTTTATTTTATGCCTGTTCAATAGAAAATTTTGTTCTGTGCAAAAAGCCATTGAAACTGCTTTTTAAATGACCCTTTATCATTGCCTAGAACACTCAAATGCAGCAGTGACAGAGAAGACAGGGAAATAGCAAGGCTGTGTGTATTCCATGATCCACCCAGAAATATAGGAGTTCTAATTTAAGTGCAGATTTTGCTATCCTGAGAATTTTAAACTTTAAAAAGGCATGTTTCTAGTTCTTAAGGCTGAGAACGATCTGAATTTCCAATTGTCAGAGGCAGTGTTTCTTAGGTCTGCATCCATTTTTTTTTTTTTTTTGCATTTGTTCACCTTCCTTTTACCCATAAGCCAATCAACGTGAAATACAGAAATATTATCTAATTCATAGGATTGAGAGAGGGACTTTGGAATTCAGCTTTTCTGAAGTATAAAATCTGCCTTTCTGTGCTAAAAATCTGGGCTTTTAGCACAAAATGCACACAATCCTTGATAACTCCCCTTATTCTTTTCGATATCAAGATGGATTTAAAAGTTCAAAAAAGGTCATTTTACTAGGAAACACAATAAAAACAATTCCCTAGGTAAAAATATTTTTGCATACTTCCCCCCCCCCCCCTTTAGCTACCTACTAGATTACAATGAAAAAGGTGAAACTTGAGCTTGCGGTCAATCAATGTTGCCTCGTAAAAAAGGAAAGCAGAATCTGGCCGACAAAGAATTCCCTAAATAGGGATAACACTAATCACCGAAGTGCACTTGACACCATAGGAGCTACAGTATTTTTTTTTTCACATGCACACTTTGTAGGACAGTTTGTACATGAACTCAAACAATGAATATAAATATGCAAGCATCTTGTTTTTAAGTATACAAATTAAAGTTTGTTTACATTCTTTACTTTCCAAGTTGCTGATGGAAAAAGTGATCTTTCCAATAGGAAGCCAAAGATGCTCATTAATGCAGTAAAATATTCATACACGCCTTTCTTTCTTTCTTTCTTTCTTTCTTTCTTTCTTTCTTTCTTTCTTTCTTTCTTTCCTTTCTTTCCTTTCTTTCTCTCTCTATTTCTTTCTCACACATCCACACATCCAGCCTTCTCACATACTTCAGGATATATAGTTGCGTGACTATGAAAAGCCCTAGATAGGACATACTCCTCTCACCACAAGAGGATGACGGAATTATTAATATTAATTCATTTTTTTCTGTAGGGAATTTCTTCTATTTTCAGTAATTTGCGGGCTGAAATCTGCACAGAATCCATTAGGAGCAGGGGTTTCCAAATAACTTTTAGACTCCATTTGATCAGGATAGAGGTACTCTTCAGCGAAGTTTGGGAACATTTCAGTAAAATAAAGGAAATCATCTAGTAATGGGGAAAAAAAAGACAGTTTCAATAATTATTTTAATTAATAGGTAGCTGTTTTTGCTGTATTATAAGTCATATTAAAAGTATTGTGTATAATTTAGTTGAATGGAAATTTAGTTATGCTTTACGTCTACTGAAATCAACGGCAACTAAGTTCACGGTGATTGATTGAACTGATTTCAGTAGGTTTTGCATGGCTAAATTACGATTTATCTACCTTTAAGGAACATGTTTAAGGTGGGTTGTTAACAACAATTGTTTCGTATTATAGAATATTTGGAGCAATTCATTGTAGAATGCATAATTATAACAGGGCCTTGTAGACAACATCATCATCATTTTGTAAGAATCAAAGTTAAAGAGCAACTAGTGTAATAGTACTTTTGAAACTATTTTTGCAACTAGTGTAATAGTACTTTTGAAACTATTTTTGTTTTCTATGGTGTACATTGTTTCTCAATACTGATCCACAATATCCTCTGAGAAGATACATATAGAAACAGCATTATCTTTCATCAAAAGGCAGCTATCATTTCTACTGCTTATGAGATTTCAAATTTTCTCTTCTCGGACAGCTACTGCGTATCTCGAGTTAGATTATGCACCCCAAGATTACATTATAATTTGATGATTGCATGCTGCAGAAAAATGTGAAAAAGATATTAACAAACATTCAACAATTATATATGTATTCACTGTTGTTTACCTTTCTAGCAAGAAATCCCAAGATGCTCAGAATTCCTTACAATGCAATTCAAAATCCCAATTTCCGCATTTCACCCCTATCATGCTTAAAGTAATTTTCAAAATCAGAGGGAAGGTAAAATAAGTCGTAAAAGAAATTAAAATATTTTCATTAAGAACAGAAAAATAAATACTATCTACTTTTTCTGTACTAAATTAAAGACAAGAGTAGGTTTTTCTTTTATAGATAATATAGATTTCTGTATAGCCCATATAATAAACTATTGTCAAAGAAGCATGGATATATGTTAATTGTTCCAGCAGGGACTAGAATGACTTGCAACTAAGGGAGATACAGAGCAATCTAGGAAATGTGGTAGGATTGACTAGGAGTTATAGTACTGGTTTTGCAATATTAATTGTAGATTACATTACAGCACTGCCATAAATGATTCTCTCTCAAGAACACATCTTTATTTCATTGATATGGAATGTGGGCAATTAAAGGCAATGGGTAACACTGTCAAGTAGGTGCATTCCAGAGGTGGGTTCCTACCAGTTCGCACCTATTCGGTAGAACCGGTTCGTCAAATCTACCAAACCGGTTAGAGGAGGTTCCACCAGTGGACCCGGAAAGCAGGCCACACCTACAGAAGAGGTCCCAAATTTTTTTGAAACCCACCACTGATCCTTGGATATGATTATTCTACACTATCATGCTCCTATTTATAAAACTCATTGCCTCTGTGAAAGGTAAGGATGACTACTGCGTTTGTGGTGCAATCGGA